TCAAATAAATAAATAAAACCTTAAAAAAAAAAATAAAGATGTAAAGGAGGTGAGAGATCAACCCGGATATATTTCTGGGGGAGAACAGATCAGCGAGAGATAAGAGTGATAGCAAAAGCCGTGATTCAGGAGATTTTCTGGCGTGTTCCAGGATCAGCAAGGAGGCAGTTTCATGAGGGTGGAGGAGAACACAAGGTGACAGGATGGAAGTTAAGTACAAGGCCACAAAAGGGTTCAGGTAATCCAGCTTTGCCTTGTTACTCTAAATGTGAGAACACCGAAAGAGGATTTTGAGCAAAGGAATAGCTTGATAGGACTTGTCTTCACAAAATTCATTCTGGCCAGTACTTTGAGACTAGATTATAGGAAGGCTAGCGTGCAAACAGGGAGACCCGTTGGGAGGCTATTGGAATAATCCAAGGGATAGATAGATGGTGATGCGGAAAGAGTGGTAATCTTGGAGATGTCAGAAAAGGTCAAATGCAGCTTGGGTTGGCACACTTGCCAGAGGTCACAGGTAATTTCAAGCCCCTAGCTCTCCTGTGATGCAGGCAATAATAAAATATATAAATGTTCTTTAAAAGAAATAACCATTTCTTGCTACTCTGCTGGTTCTCCAAGCCCTAGTTCATGGGATCAAAACTCACTCCAAGAATTGAAAAAAGAAACACTGGAGGACACAAAAGATTAAAAGAAAGAAGCAACTGAATTCTAGACATTTTGAAGGCACAGTCAACAAAGTTGGAATTAAGGTTTTGACCTGAGCAACTAAAAAGATGGAATTGTCATACACTAAGATGGAGAACACTATAGGAAGCACCCATCTAATATTTCAATATTCATTTGAAATATTAATTTTGTGATGCCTTTTAGAAATCCAAATGGGGATGTTAGGTAGGCAGTTGAATATATGAGATTGAGTTTGGGGAATAGGTCTGGGGTAAAGACATACATTTAAAGGTCAAAAGCATATAGTTGCGGGGCCGCCTGGGTGGCTCAGTTGGTTAAGCATGTGACTTACCTCAGGGTCCTGGGATCCGACCCGCATCGGGGCTCCCTGCTCAGCGGGGAGTCTGCTTCTCCCTCTGCCCCTCCCTCCACTTGTGCGCACTCGCTCTCTCTCAAATAAATAAAATCTTTTAAAAAAGGAAGAAAGAGAGAGAGAGAAAGAAAAGAGGTTTGAGAATGAAGCTTTGGTACACTCTTAACTTTTAGATGTCGGGCGGGGGGGAGGGGTGCGGTTGAGAAGAACCATAAAGGAGACAGAGAGACAGATTAGGTGGAACATCAATAGAGTATAAATTAAGGAAAGGAGATTTAATTCTCAATGTGCAGTTTCTTTTGTTTTTGTTTTTGTTATACTATTTGTGGTCACTTCATTACCTTTCAGGTCTCTCAACCCTATTTTCCAATGACCCATTATTTTCTCTAAGACGCTGACACCGCCTTTGACAAAAGTGTTCATTCGCTGGAATTCCCTTCCCTACGCTCTCAACATTTTTTCCATCTTGGCTCAGTCGAAAATCCTCCAAGAAGTCTTTTCTGATCCCCCTCCCTGGCCATACCTTCCCTTGTTTGTTCTCCCTTAGCATCTAGTACATACGTCGTTTTTTGGGGTTTTTTTTATGTTCGGTACTCATCACATGACACTGTAACTGTCTTTTTGGTTTATTTTGATCTACTTTACTAAACTGCTAGCTCCTCAAAAGTGGAGATGTTGTTTAATTATTTCTTTTCTCTCCAGCACATGATAGGCACTCATGAACTATTAGTTGAATAAGCAATAAATAAATAGTTCCTAGCCAATAAATGTTAAAAATCACTAAATATATCTATAAACACACACGTTTGTACGCATAGGGACAAGAAACAGTGACTTAAAGATTGGGTTTATCAGGTAGAGTGAAACAATGTAAAGAACAGACAAGCAGGAGCAGAAACTTACAGGAGAATGAAGTGAAAACAGGTGAATGCCTCTCAGTTTGGATACACTCGAGTAAACGCAAATGGACAATGGGTGAAGGGTAAAAACAATAATAAATCAATAACCAATCTGATGATCCCACCAGTGATAAATTAATAATAAATTTGATAATTCCACATTTGATATGTACACTATGCCTGAAAATCGAGGGGCAGTGAAGCCTATATTAATATTCATGATGATTGTCGCTTCCTCCTTATCCTGACAGGTCAGCAAAATCTGATGCAAAGTTAGGACACCTGCGCTCTTAAAAGATTATGTTGCCTAATGTGCATTTCTTACCTTTAAGTGAGGGATAAATCTGTTCTGAAAAATATTTTTCATTTTTAATATTTAGCTCTTTTTTTCTTCTCCCTTCTGGCTGATGCTCCTAGGAAAACAAAATCTAAAATCACTTTTGCATTTGAGCCCTGGACTCTAAGCACCTTGTAACACACCCCTCCTCCACCCACCCAGCCCACACCCCAACAAATCCAAGGTCTCCGACACCTTCCTAAGCATTCTCTCAACCTTATTCAAATTGCTTTCCAGGGCAAAGAATGTAGTAAGTTTGCCTTCTAGCTACCAGCCCCCTTCCCTTTGGTCTTTCACTCCAGAGGCTCTGACCCTAGATACAATGAGACACAGGTGGGGGGATGGGGGAGCATTTGGCCCAGGTTTTCAGGCCAAGACCCCCGTCAGCAAAGAACAAAGCTTCTGGTACCTGCGCTTTAGAGAGCTGCGGGCAAACTAAGGTGTTTGGTGGCCTTGACTGCGCTCATTTACCAGCCGTGCTAATTGAAAGCCAGGAAGTCAAGTTCTCTGTTTTTTAATTTACTTTTCCCCCAGTTTTACTGAGAAGTAATTGACAGATGGCATTGTATTAGTTTAAGGGGAGCCAACACAATGGACTGAGAGACGTAGATGTTGCAAAAGGATTACCACAATAAGTTTAGTTCACTCCATCCATCACTCACGTTCCCCCTTTAAAGGAATCATACTCTGTAATGAGACAGACTGTCTGCCTGAGCGCAATGTATTTCCACCCACCTCTTCCTTGACACTCGTGTTCCTACTGTTTTCCCTTCCAGAATGATGGTCTGAGAAGACAAAGGAAAGATTACAAAGAATTGATCTCTGTGCTTTGGTCCCGGCAATCCTCCTATGCTCACGAATTGGCACCCTTAAGAACGAATATCTCTTTTCGTGGAAGCAAAGCAAGCAGTTCTAGGTGGAGACCCAAGGAGGAGAGTGCATGCGAGGATTAGTCAGGCTTGCATCTCCGGAAAATATACAATTGGAATTTGCTAAGGGTTTACTTGGAGGAGTGGGAGACTGGAAAAGAGGAAGAAATCTTAGGTTTCTCGGATATTGAATTTAAGAGTGGGGAGGAAAATTGAAAGCTGCAGACTGTTATCTTTGTCTATAAATATGTTCACGCTGAAACCCAACCATAAAAACTGGTTCTTTGGAAAACATACAGAAAAAAACAAAAACAAAAAACAAAAAAACAAATTTGAGAGCAGGGATGGAGTGGGGTTGCAGGACAAGACAGAAATGCCAGGCCAGGGAAAGAAAAGTTGATTTAAAAAAGAGTGGGGGTG